CTGCTGCAGTTCAGCACTATGGGCTCTGTCAATTGGGAGCTCAAACAGCTCTCCCCGCTCTGCAGTCAGACTTTAACAGCAAGCCCCAGGCACAGTCCATGTGCTGACCCAGCCTGCCTGCCGGGTGATACCTCTGGGGCATCAGGAGTTTGATCACACTGCCAATACTGTCACTTTTCCATGTCTCACACCTTGCATTTCCAAAACAGGAGGATGTGGCTCTGCTTCCCTGCATCTCAGTGCTGCTTCATGGTCTTTCAGGCAGCTGTACTCACTCCTGTGCCAGGAAGCTGCAGGTTTGCTCAGCCATGGCACAACATTGGTGCTCTACTGTGGCAGGCTGGGCTCATCTGTATGCAGCCACCAGCCATGGACATCATCTAGCTGCCTCACCTACCCTTGAAGGCAAGTATAACCAGACCTACTGCCTCACCCAGACATTGCAGACAAAATCCATATCTTTTGACTCTGTCACTTTGGTAGGACATCAGATACGTTCCCAAGCATTGGTGCAGAACTTGTTTGCTCTTCAGAGAACAGCCCAGATCCTCCTGTTCTGCTCATGTGCCACTGCTCTACACTTATTTTCAGCTTTGCCTTAGGTTCCTTGATGCCACCTGTGCAACTCACAATAAGTGCTCCATGTACCAGAGGCTCCCTGAGGCAGCCAAGATAAATGTCAGCAGTGCTCGTTATGCTGTTTTCTGGGGCAGAGAGGGGTTACACCTTGCTCCTGCAGATTCCTTTTCCCAGTGCCTCATTGTTTCTGCTTTTGCAGATGAACCACACCGCCATTTTCACCAGCCACGAAGGGTATTGATGTTGATCTCCTGCATTTGCATTAAGCAGTCCATGGGCAGCATCTCTGAGAACAGCACCAAGCATTTGGGAGATGGGTATCAGCTCCTGCTCCAGGCACGGGTTCACTAGGGCCATGATCCTCACCATGGTTTGTCCTGTCTTGCCATTCACAGTAGCTCAAAGGGACATAAATATTCACCAGCCCCTGGAAGAGGCACTTTGCACTCACTGCACGGTGGGGTCGCCACACAGTGCAGTGAGGGTGATGCCCATGTCCTGAGCGATTCACACTGATAGAAAAGCCAGCCCCAGCAGGGGAAATGAACAGATGGATAACCACCTGCTGAAAAGGAAAATATTGAGACAAGTAGGTGCTATGGCGATTTGTATACTTCCTTTGATCTCAGCTGTATCTTTGTACTGCATATAGAAAGCAAAGAGGAAAACAATGAAGCTTTATCCTAAGCCACTGACTTTCTCAGATTCATTTTCCTGCTCCATAATGGGAACAGAGGATTGACTCCCAGCCTGCATTAATGAAAAAAACAAACACAAGCATAACTTCATAAGTGATAAAAGTTGCGTTTCCAGGCAATTATTTATTTGCTTTTGCCTCTACAGAGCCTATCTATGCATTGCATAGGAGCCTGTTGGAAGGACCTCCAGTAAAAGTCTTTAGTCAATTTGTTTAAACTCTTATAATAATAAACAGCAACATTAAACAGCATTTCATCCACTTGGCCTCATCACCATCTCCTCACTTGTTCCCATGTTGAAGTCTGGAAAAACTCAGAACACTTTGTCCCAAAATTCATGACTGAAAACAAGTTTCAGAAGAAAGGTTCCGGGAGGATGATCCAGCTGCAGCCCTCCAAAGACTATTTAGGTGAGCACAGATAGAGCCCTTAGGCAGACTCTTAGCTGTCAGGCCTGAACTCAGAGGATACTCAGGATCTGAGTTCAAGTGACTCATGCAACCTTTTATTTCTATGCCCACTCCAGTCTTAAAAGTCACTTGGCCTTCAGGAAAAATCACTTTAGTGTTGTTTCACAGGAGCCCTGGAAGCAGCTTGGCACGGGTGGCAAAAGGGCAACACCACCAGCCTGCTGAGGAGTCACAACTTCAGTGTCCTTCCAGCTCCGGCTGCTGACCTGTGGTGCTCACTGAGCAAAGCACCTCTGTGTGATGTGGTAGCCATTGACAATATACACTGGTCAAATATTTTGTCTCTGTCAACTGATAAAATCCACTTTAGAAGCTCTCTAAAGTATCTCCAGGCTGTGCATCTCAGCCTAGGGAAAGTACCTTCACGTTACTACTGTCACCCTGTCTCCCCCTCATGTCTGTGCCTGGTGCTGAGCTACACGTTCACTGTAAGCCCTTGCACGTGAGGGAGTCCTGGGGCACACAGTGCATCTCTGTGCATTATTTTAAGCCTGGAAAGAACCAAGAGATTTGGGGCTTTTTTTTTTTTTTCCTAGTAGAAGCTGTAACAGCCAACTTGCATCGATAACAAGTACTGACTAACATGCAAGGCACTCTGAAGGCATTATTTATGTCAAAGAAATCACAACCCTTTCTTGATTTTTCTATCACACCATGTACATCCTGCAAGGTAGAGAGACATGAGGAGTCATGCAAAGGGCAACCAGATCTGCTGTTTGTAGCAGATGGCTATAGGTACCAGATGGAGCTTGGGACCTACCACTTTCCATACAGCTGCAGAACATCTGTGCCATTCCAGTTCTCTGAGTCAGAGATCACCAGGGCCATTTATGTCCCCCAGAATTAATGGGATGACTCAAAACTGAACTTGGGTTCCCACTACTTTGTCCATTTTCTCTTCTTTCTCCTCAGGTTTCCTGAAAGCTGAACAGGCCATCCAGCTACATTTGCATTGGGTCCTTCCTCCAGTATGTCCTTGACCACCTCAGTGTCTTATGCTATGTAGGAGGGGACATGGTTTATGAATACAATCTGAGAAGCTGCAACAGGGTTCAGCACACACGCTGATGTTAAGGCCAACCTTTGAGGGGATGGAGGGCTTCATGGTGTAGAGCCACACAGCTTCTCCCCAAAAGCCACTCTGACTTCCCAAGCTCCTCTGGACCAGTATTAGCTCAGGACTGCAGGCAGAAATGCAAGCTCTTTGCTAAATTCCCCTTTCAAGGTATAGTCACAGGATGACTGCTGAGGGATCAACGACGTTTTCCAGCTCAGATATCACACTTCCTCCCTCACACACGTTAATGCCATTAGTCCTGAGAGAGCACCTTAAAAAGTTGGGTTTCCTGTGCAAAGTAACAACTTTATTTCCAGTGCCTGCTGCCCGCTACCCCAGCGTTGACTGCAGGGGACTTGGGCACAGCTCACACAGCAAAGTGGCACTGGGGAAAGGGTGGTGCTTCTGATCCTTGTTTGGTGTCAGGGATGCCAAGGCAGAGTGGGAATGACACTGCATTTTCCTTTTCTGGAGCACCAGGCCATCTACTCCACGACTTAGCCGAGGCGCCGCAGGTCTAAGGAGAGGACAAAGTCGGTCTGTTCTACTGTGGGCTCCCTGCCAGGCTCGTCCCGCCCAAGGCTGCTGCAATGCCAGCTTTCTCTGGCCCGGGGGAAGCTCCTTCCCAAGCCCCAACCACACTCCCACACGACCATGACCACCTCCAGATTCTGCTGATGCAGGGACCAGAGGCACAGGCTGTCCCACAGAGCCCCCACAGCCCACGTGGGGCTGGCCACCGTCAGCAGTGCCATCCCAGATGGGAGCTGCAGGACGTGGGCGTGTCTACAGGTTTTTGCAGCACTGCAGCAGCAAAAGGGATTCAAATGCTCAGGCCAGGTATCACCCGACTGCAAGGCTAAGCCTGAACCAGAGCAATGCTCCCTGCAGAGACAGGGATTTTGAGCAGTCTAAATACTTAATATTCCCCTTTTTGCACAACCAGTGTTTTCATGCAATGCTAAGAACTCCAGAGAAAAATAACTAGGACAAAACTCCGCAAACATTTGGATGCTGCCTGACTTCTTACCCGGAGCATCTCTGTACCTAATTGCATTCCCAAGCAATGCTGGGAGCCTTCCCATCACACAGGCAGCAGGAAGCACGGCTAAGGTTGCCTGGTATCACACATTTAGTATCTCCAATGACGTGATCATTAATCATTAAGTCAATTGCACTAATATTCTTTAGACTATCGCATACCTGTTCCCTAGCACCCTCTGGAGGAAAACTTAGTCCTTCGCCCAATTTAGTGGAAATGGTGCCTGTAGATCTAGGATAACAAATGGCTCTAACTCCTCCAGATCAAACTCCCAGCAAAGATTCAGGTCTTTGGTTCTCTGAATACATGTTGTAATAGACACAAATTATGCAAGTTTGGTCGTTTGCTGCAGGCCGAGAACTGTTTAGGAACATACGTTTAAATTCAGTATGCTAACTCTGGTCAAAAAGCAGAACAGCTATGCTGTTCATTTTCTATGCTGTTCATTCTCATTCATGAGAGCAAAACCCGTCCTGACCATGTGGTTTTAAGAAACTGAGGAAAACAATGTACAGGAAAATAAAACTTCAATACTCATCATTTACATCGCAAGCCTTTTCTCCTTTTTTTTTCCCCCCTATTTGGGAGCTGATCCCTTCTTTAACCACATGCTCTCCAAAACAGGAAAAAACCTGAATTCTTGCCTTGCAACCCTCCACCCCAGAAGGCAGACATCAAGATGATTTCAGAACAGGGTATTATAAAACCATTTTGCAAAGGGGCAACCAGTAAGAAGCTCTAACTAGGAAGAAAGGAAGCATTCCAATTAAAAAAAAAACAAACCACAGGCACATGAGACATTAAAGAAACGTGCCCAGATCTTAAAGCCAAACTCTTTCACCATCAGCTGCTATGGTACATGATTTTGTACCTGAGGTGGTTATGGACTTATTCAGTACTTGTGTATTTTCTGAGTAGGTAAAACTCCCCATGGAGACAAAACCTCCACTTGTTTAGTGGCTCTTAGAATAATTAGGTGTCGTGCAAAACTCACTTTGTTCAATTGCTGGTTTATAGTCAGCAAAATTTTGATCGGTATTTCGCAGGCCCACATGCACACAGGTGCTGTGAGGGAGTACAAGATTCTGTTTTCAGGACACTGGCCAATGTAGCAGAATCCACAGCAGACTAATTACTTGTTCAGACATGAGAGATGCAAATAAACAACATGTCTTTATCACATTCAATATATTAGTATGGTGCATACCAAAGGCCTTGAAAAATTCCCTATTTTGATCCTACACAGCTATATAACACTGCTCACTTCTTGAACTTTCCAAGAGAAAAACTCCACTTTAACACAAGATGCATGTTGGTTTTATTAATTACAATATAAATAATACTTTCTGATATACCATATGTTCCAGTTTCTGAATCTATATCCGAAGAAAGTTCTGAAGTTTGGGGAATACTTTTAGTGCATTCCGTGTAGTCACTTCTACAACTTCTTCAACTGGAATTCCTTTAATTTTGGCAACATATTCTGCAGCAATGTAAATATTTTTGGGTTCATTTCTCACCTGAAAACAAAGAAACAAACCAAGTTACAGATCCCTATAGACCACAGGTGTTTCTGAGTCAGTATTTCCTGACACAACTTCACATTGTGGCTTGTGTTCCAGAAAAATTACACGTGTCTATTCCTCTTGATCACATTCCCTTGGTAACCTCTTTCATCTCTTGTTTCCCTGCTTACACTATTTCATTCTCCTGCACCAGGAACTGACCTCCATGAGGTGTGGGTTTGGATATACATACACAGAAGTCCTCATCATTTACCTGTTTTTCAGGCCCCAGAGCAGGAGAGTCAGTTTCCAAGCACATATTTTCCAGAGGTAGCTGTTTCACAAGCTTCTGCTTCTTGGAGAAAATAAGACAGCTATTAAATGCTTTATGCACTTAAACCTGTGGGAAAAAATTGTGAAAGGAGGACATCCCCTGCATTTAACAGCAACATCAAAAGACTTTGGTGCCACTGCCTGCATTTTAGCAACAATTTCTGAATGGAAGCAAGAATGCCAGGAGCTGCTCAAGAAGTGCCTTCAAATCAGGATTCTCTTGTTTTCTAAATATCTGAAGTACTGTTATCTCAACACTGAATCCATTGTTACTTATTAAATCACGCAGTTAGATTGCAGTAAACACACTGCATTTAGAGTTGCCAATGCAATTTTGCTATTTTCTGTGTATATATTTGTGTACCTTTTCCTCATCTCTGCTTTTACTTCAGTTTGCTTTCCCTCCTCCAAGTTTCCAACCTCATACACATGTATATCCACCCCTCATACCTCCTCCACTTGAATGAAGCCTTTTCCTTTCTTACATTTCCTGAGCTTATCACAGAAAGTGATGATGCTGCAGGATGGAAACAGATTGCTACCCCAAAATAAGAGATTAGCAAAGCTTGTAGCAGCCCAGGATAAAAATTAAAAGAGCAGTCTCACCACATAAAGTGCTGAACCTGAGCAATGCCATCTTTAAGCAATTTAGCTGCTTATTTGCTTGTGATAATCAGAATTCTTCATATGTCTGCAACTTAGCCAATTGTGAATGGATTTAATTTAGAACAGACAGTGCCACAGCTCTGAGATAGAAACTAGTTCTTTTCTATGTGTCATGTCCCTTCTCTAAAACAGTACAGTGACAGAAGCTTCCAAAGAAGAGTTCACCAGAAACCACATCAAAACGAGAAGGAAAAATCCCCTTGTTTCTCAGGAACAGCTGAGCTCTTTTAGCCAACATTTTCCCTCAGAAGCCTAACTAAGGCAAAAGTCCCAAAAGGTAGAAATCCAGCCAAAGTATAAAAATGTGCAATGCTATAAGCAACTGAAACTTCTCCTGAGAAGTGTCAGGTTACAGTAACTGTACACAGGCACTGCTGGTCTCAACAGCCATCATAATAAGCTGTCAGCTATTACCTGCTATTCCCAGGCACCGAGAAGGAGCAGACCCCAGCTGCAATCAGGACAAAATGTTACCTGTTCACTCCTTATAATGGAAGGAGGAATGGAGAAGTAGTATCCAGCTTTCACGCCTTCCATCGCTACAGATGGCTTCCCATCAAATGCATGGAGCAACACCTTTGTAGCACCTTGGAGAAACGAAGCAAAACAAATGATCAGCAGGGTTACAGGGCAGGGCTGCTATGTCAGCTTCCAGCGGGATCTTGGTCCCATAAAGAATGAATACAGAATCTCTGCACTATTGCTCCCAGGTTTCACGCACACAAACTGAAGTGAGGACACGGCACAGATGAAAAAATTCTCTTGACAAGAGCCATGACAGAGAAAATGCATTAAAAGCATACCTTGTTCCTTCAAGAGATTAATGGTTGGTCTTCCAGCTGAGCGGGAATGAACATTTCTGCACAGCAAGGAGAAGGTTGGTATTAGGAAATTCAGCCAAATATTTTTTTTTTGCAAACACAAACAAATTAACAGCAGCTTGGCATGAAAATAATTAATCTGTATTACACCTTTTATCAGGAAAAAAATGGAAGATATATGTATGAATCATTGTAGCTATGAAGATACAGGAACAACATAGCAAGGACAGGACACAGAAGGCGACTGCATTGAAATGTAAACACAACGAAAATCCTATAATTAAATCTTAAACTGGAGATTGACTGGACACTAATACCACTTTAATTCATCTAATAAAAGTTCTGTGGGCATTTAGTAACTATAAATCTTGGGAAATATTTTCACATGTTACTGAGATCTGGCAAATTCTCTTATGAGTATAAATAAAACCTACAGAGGCAAATCCAGTTGTCTTGCCAACTCAATTTGCTTGATCAAAACCTGTCTTTGTTCTTCCTTCTGTTCATCGGTGCTGGCAAATCTGGGAGTGAAATCTAGTCCAACCTATAGTATAAAAAGAGAAGGGGAAAAATTTTACAGACCTAACACTTAACAAAACCATCATTTGATATATAAAGGCAAAAAATGCTTCAAAATTGCAAAGCATTTCAAAGTATGTACACTAGAGACTGCAATTAAAACAAGCTCACCTGTAGCTTAACTCAGAAAAGAATCCATTCTCAACCATAAGCTCTTCCAACTATGAAAGCATTTGTGGGCAGATAGTTACTAACAAGGGTATTTAACACTTTAATCTGTAAGTGGGTTTCTGGGGGTTTATATTCTATTACATATTATTTCAGAGTAAGTCTCCAATCTGGACCCAATTTCGGACCCAAACCCATAGCTTTAGTCCAAACTCTAGCAAAAATTACCCATTACTTCTATACTCTTTTGATCTAAACATGTTCAGGCAAAATTTAAAGTCTGTCAAAGCAGCCCCATTCAGTTACACCAACCAAAGTCTTTTATATACAGTACAACGCGGCAAACTCAGCTACAAAGCTCTGCCAATAACTACTTTTCCTGCAGCCAGTGCAGAACCAGACATAAGTCCCTCCAGTACCAACACGCAAACAAAGGCAGTCTACCCTAAAGCTTTCAAGCCTCAATTCCTTTATAAACAAATGTTAGACAGGGGAGAACACATGGATACAGACAGATGAGGGATCAAAAAAAAGAACTGTACAAGTCAATGAGGTGTACTGAAATCACAACTTAGCCTAACTTTGTCAGGGAAGAAGGTAGGAAGGCTCTGCCTTCAGCTGTAGGATGATACAACATAATTATGCAATCTTCCTACTACTCCATCAGCATAAATTCCATCTATTTTCTAACAATAACAAGGAAGGAAAAGAGGGAATCAGGCAAATCTATGAAGGAAAGCACATTAAGAGAATTACAAATCACACTTAGTGCTTGTTCAGACTGAAGACAATACTTAGCATACACAAAAACCAGCATTCTCTAACTTTCTGTAATTCTGGTGACAGGTGCTGCTGAAAAGGTTTAAACAAGTTGTGGAATTCTACTCACTTCTCCGATCCCCACCAATTTGTCTTTGTAGAGTTCTATAAGCGGCAGTGCAGCATCCAGATCCTGCAGGAACAAGTTAGAGATGCCTTTACAAGGGGGAAAGGTTATGAACCCAGCATTATAGTTGAACTGTTCTTCATTGTTCTTAAATTCTGTACTTTAAAACTCGCTATTACTGCGAGTTGTGTGGTCAGACTTTAGAAACCTGCAGGATTTGCCTTGTTTACTTAATAACCATTTCATTATATATGCATATAACACTTACTTTAAATACTCCTATTTTCTAGCTATCTTTTCACAGTAGCAGAAGAGGTAATTAAAACAAGGCCCACAAACAGTCCGACCACACTAAATGACTGCAAACAGCCAAACAGCTCCCTGAGTTTTTCAGGCTAAGGTAAGGAAGGGTACCCTTTCAGTTCCCTTGTTAACAAAGGGACATCTGCAAATGCTGTTTACTGTAAGCAAAGCATTCACTTGGGATTTTTGAAAATGTTTCACTGCAGTAATAGGGCCAGATGACTCCAGTGAACAACTCTGCTTTAGGACTAACATGGACAAATGGATGTGCTGAGAGACCCCGGGATTTGGTCCACTGGGTTTCCTGCATCACAGGAAGCAGAAAAATCACTGGGCAGAACTGAAGGTAAATCAGGCAGACCGGAGCATCCTGTCGTCTGTCCTGAAAAGTCCCAGCCGTATTTTATAGCCTGTGTTTTACCTTCAAAGTGACACTGCGCTGCTCCCCTGGAGAAACCTCCTGAACGGGGTGAACTCCCAGGCATGGCAAGACAAATCCTAGGAACCTAGACACAGAACAGGGATCGGTAGTGTGAGAGACCCCAGAGAACCCAAGTTTAAACCCAAGAGACCCCAGAGGACCCAAGTTTAAAGCCAAGAAGCGCTGGCCTGACCGAGGAGGAGGAAGGCAGCGCGCCCCCCGCCACCTCCCGCCTAGGACACGGGTGGGCGCCGGGACCCCCAGCCGGCCTCGCACCTCTCCGACAGCTCCACGACGCTCCGGAACTCGCCCGCCTGCTCCGACACCACCACCAGCGCCGACACGGCCGCCTACGGCACACAGAGACCCCCGGCCCGCTAAGACTCCCCGGCCGGCGGCGCCACGGGGGAGCGGGCAGAGGGTCCCCGCCGGCCGCCTCACCTGCTCCGCCGCCCGCACCACGGCCGCCACGTCCTGCAGGAGACACGCAGCACCTCAGCCCCGGCCCGCAACCCCCAGCCCCCGGCAGCCCCGCCCGGCCGCCTTGCCTCACCGTGTGGAAGCAGGGCGCGGCCAGGTGGCAGTGACAGTCCACTGGGCCCGCCATGCCTCGCCCCGGGGGGAGCGCCAGGGCGGCCGCGGGTTCCGCTTCCGGGCCGGCATTTTGCCCGCGTCCCGGGCGGGAAATGTCGGCGCCGCCGGGGCCGCCGCCCGGCCCGGGCCCGGCCATGGATGCAGAGGGAGCGGCGGCGGCGCGGCGGGACCCGCGGGTGCGGTGCTGCTCGCGGCCCAGGCTGCGGGCCGTGATGGAGCTGTGCGCGCCCTTGGTGCGGGCCGTGATGGAGGGACAGCCCGGCGGGGACGCCACCGAGGGAGACGCGGTCTGGGTGAGCGGGGCGCGGGCTCGGCCGGGGCCGGCACGGAGCGGCCCCGGGGCCGGACCTCGGCCAGCGGGGCGGGGGAGGCTTCGCCCCGAGGTGGCCCCCGGGCAGGGCGGTGAGGCAGGAGGGGCCCTTCCCGCCTTCCCGGTGGAGGGATGGATTCCAGCCCGTGTCTTGCAGAACTTCGAGACGGCGCTGCGGGAGAACGTGACCATCAACGGGCAGCCCTGGGAGGAGGCCACGGATGAGCCCAGCCCGCCGAGCGGTACGCGCTGGTTTCCATTGATTTCCTGCCGGGCGGGGTTGTTTTGGTTCGGTTCGGTTTGGTTTTGCCCAGAGGCGAGGGGTCGGGCTGGAAGGGGAGGCTCTGACTTGATGTGCGGAAGTAAAAATCCGCTACTGGGATGACTGGGCGTTGGGAAAGGCTGCCCAGGGAGGTTGTGTGTTCTTCAGCAGCGAAGGCTTCCAAAAATCATCTGGACAAAAGTGTTCTGAGCAACCTGGTTTGAACTGGGTGTGGATCCTACTGCGAACAGGAGTTCGCAGTCACCTCCTGAGGGCCCTTCCAGCCCCGAGTGTGGGGGACAGTGACCAAGATACCTTCCTATCAAGGGACCCTAAGAGATTGTCTGTTGCTGCTATTTAATATGCAAATTAAGTGTTGAAAATTATTGATGTATAATAATATTTAAACATATGTAATGTACGCAGTGTGTGTGTAATGACTGTCTTTTGAATAATATTAGTGGAGATTCTTGGTAGTCTAGTGTCCCAAATAGAGTTTCAGTGTGGTTCATTTGCTCACCCATGTTGGTGTGAGATGCCCTTTGCTTGCAACTTGATGCTTTTTACAGTTACACAAAGCTACAAATACAGATAGAGTGTATCTATACATTATCTTTTCTATGGAGAAAGAGCTCCTTGAACTGGTTTTTGGTGAGGAAGCTTTGAGCAAGCCTGGGCCCTGACCAACCCAATCTAGTTGAAGATGTCCCCACTCATTGGAAGGGCCTTGGACTAGATCACCGTTAAAAGTCCCTTCCAACCCATTCTCTGATTCTACGAAGCTTCTGCAGTTGTAGTTCTGGAATGATAAAACTCCAACTCCTTTGACTACAAGGTCAAAAATGCTCTGGTCTCATGGTACAAAATGCTAAACCGAGGTACTGTCATCTGCCCGCAGCTGGCTTAAAGCAGGTTTAAGGACTATATTGTGCTTTTTAATTTGACAAAGATTTACTTGTGTGCCTATCTCTGATGCAGTTTGAATCACCAAGAGATCTGACATTTTGTGCCTTCTGTGTTGGCCAGTGGCTCATGTCTTTCCTATCTGTATTTAAATGATTTCATCCTTAAACAGACAACCAGAACAAACCCACAAACTCTTAAAACCTTGATTTTGCCTTTCTGAGGTTTGCAACAACCTGATTCTGCATAGAGTGACCCCGAGAGGGTGCTCAAAATCCATTCTTTACCACTAGATCGAAAACATTGCGTGGCTTGCAAGTTGTACTCAACTCGTTAGTGGGAACAGTGAATTTAAATGCTAAGGCATTTGCAAAATTAAATTAAAAAATAATTTAAAAAAAGAGTATTGTCAACTTTTCAAATTTTCACTGGGGAGAAAAATTCTAGGAGTGTGCAGATGAAAGAATATAGAAATATACACAACGTTTCAGTTACACATGGCTAGATTATAAGATTGAGTAGTTCATTCTGCTTTCTTCTATAACTTATTTTTTTGCAGTTTGTAACAATGGTGTGTGATGTCAGGAAAGTGCAGGCATTTACTTGTCAAAATTTTGAGAGCAGTTTTAAAATAGTATCTTAAGCTTTTAAAATTGTTAAGTTTAATTTGCAGTCTTGAGGAAGTTAAGTCCCCTTACTAGAGTAGCGGTAATAAAAAGACCAGTTTACAGCTGAAAATATGTTTTAGGTGTTTAGTCTGACCCTGACATTGGAAAAAAGAGCTATGAAAGGTAAGTTCCAGCATGTTTTCTCTTGGGCCTCAGGTGCTGAAAGCAGGCATGTTTATATTTTGAAATTTGTTGTGACTTGTAATTGTAGATGTTGTCAGGATGCAGAGTATTTCCAGGAAGTGTGTTGCATTATGGTGGCATTGTATTTTGTCATGTTAAACTGCATATTTGTGCTCTGTGTGGTATAAAAACAGTCAGACTTCAGATTTCTACTTGTACAGTTGGAGTTTGTTTAATGCTTGTAGGTCTTACAGATAAACCGTTTTTCTTGCTGCATCTTGCACTGCTTTTCTTCAGTTGAAAAATTTGTGACCTCAAAAGACAGCTATTTCTTTTTTAAGACTTTCTTCATAGATTCAGAGTTCATAGAGAAATACATTTTTTATTTTTTTCCCAGATGTTACTCCCCCTTCATGCCCCTGCCTCATTTACTTCAAAATAACTGGCCAACATCAAGTTATGCTCCAGTTTTTGTATTGCCTTAACAAGGAGACTCAAGACATATATGTGTCTCTTTGTTGTAATAATGCATGATTTTTTTTTATTTCAGATAAAATTTTTTCCCTACAAATTAGTCTCCAAAAAAAATTGTCAGAGAACTCCTGCAACATCTTTGAGCTTCGTGTGTTTGTCATTTTTAGGTTCCGACGTTAAAATTCTCGAAGATCAGTTTGATGAACTAATAGTAGAGACAGCAACAAAGCGTAAACAGTGGCCTAAAAAGATACTGGTGCATGCTATCCAAACCATGAAAGCTGAGCAAGAGATGTTGGTGAGTAACCTAAGATTTTCAGAAAAATCTTGCATAGAGTAGCTGCTGACCAAGTGTAACTAGAAGAAATAAATCATCTAATATTGATCTTTGAGTTCCTTCCCGTGGTTGCTTTGTCATATAATTAAATGGTCATATAATTAAGTGGTTTTGTTGCATTAATTGGTTCTTCAGTAAAATGAGGATTATTACAAAGCATTGTGACTGTGAGTGAATTGGGTCTGTGGCACAGTTTAGTGAGTTACTTAAGCAGATTGTTTCAATCTGGTGCCTCATGATTTACAAGCCAGTGTGCACCTGTTGTCACGTGTTTCTGAAATCCTTGCCCAAAGGCTGGTTGAAGCGCTCAGTGTTAGACTACGCACAGATAAATAGTACCATGCACAGTATGTGGTGGTTAAAAAGAATGTTTGTGTCTTCCTAAGCACTTTTTTTTTGGGCTACACTGTAACTGCTACTTTCCTGAAAGAAAAAAAAGAGCAATGAGGATTAATGAATAAGTGCAGTAATTTCTGTGGGGTTTTTGACACTCAGTGTAAAGTAATTACTGGCAATAAACAACCCAGTCATGTCCTTGGTTGCTAGATTTCTTCCCTGCAGTTACATTAGGCTTACCATTTGCTTACCTCCTGATTAATTAGGATTCCTTTGGGAAAAAAAAAAGAGGATGGAGAGGCAAACACTGGCACAAGTTGCCCAGTGAAACTGTGGAGTCTTCATCCTTGGAGAGATTCAGGCTCTGAGCAGCCTGCACTAGTTGGCTCTACTTTCTCTAGGGTGTTTAGAGGCCCTTTTCCAACTTCAGTTATTCTTTGCTAAAGAAGACAGGGATGCTTTTCAAAAGTTGTTTCAGAGCCTGCACTGCATTTCTGAGGACTAAAACGGACAAACATTAACTCTTCAGTTAGCCAGGCAGAGAAGATTTACTGTAAGGAAAAGGGCATAGGTACATATTCATCTTAAACCCAAGATATCATAAAAGGCAATATATGTTAGAAAATCTCTCTGTTTTGTCATTATATCAAGTATGTAAAACAAAGTCGGAGCCCCTGGTGGTCCAGGGAGCCCCTGGTGGTCCAGTGGTAAAGGCGCCGCGCTATCACCGCGGAGACCCGGGTTCGATTCCCGGTCAGGGCCACTCCCGGGCAGGTGGGGCTCGTTAGCCCTTAAAGGCAACCCACCTACGTCCTAAGGACCTCGCTGCCACCGTCCAAGCTCGCTTGGCCCCGGCAGATGAACCTTAGGATTAAAGGGTGGGCTCAGTTCCGCGCACACTGTGTCTCACCTAAAAAAATCCAATGCGCAGGCTGGAAGGTGGAAAGACCTTCCCCGGATCTTCGCTCGCGAAGACTGGCCATTATTGTTAAAACAAAGTCAGCTAAAATAAAAAATGCTATTATGGAACATCAAGATTTAGCAAGGCCTTTTAACCATCCTGCAGAAGGGAAGCTATGTGCTACCTGAGTCCCACAGTGGATTGGTTATTTACAGTGCCTCTCATGCTACCTCTTTACTCTTGCTGATCTCTTCAAAGTTTACATCACTCTACAGCTAGATTATTTCAATTAAAAGTGGCTGCAAAATATAGAAAGTGTAGTTTATCTCTGTAAGTATGTATAAAAATACAGAAAGTTTAGTCTAATCTCTGTAAACGAAGTGTCTTTTTTTTTCCTCAGAGCTACTTCTGTGAAGGTACTAGTGATTTCTCTGCTTTTGTTTGAGGATGTTTTGAGTTCTTTCTTGACCCTAGCTAATGTAGTCACAAGACTCACAGTTTGTGAAGCCCAGTGTTCTTACTTTAGCATAAGTAATTGCAGGGCTAGAATGAAGTCATGTAGGTAATTTTCTTTTTCTTAGCTTTTTGTCTTAATGTCCCATTTGTTGGAGTTTGTACCTCTGTGAAAGCATGCTGTTTTTGTGAATGACCCCTTAGAAGCCAGAGAAGCTCTTGTTCCACAGTCATGCAGCAGGTGGCAATACTTCCTCTAAAATGCTTGGATTTCAGTTCTGCTTTAATAATTAGAATTCTGCAAACTAAAGCAGAGTCTGGAGATCTGTTTACAGTGAATGTAACTGTGTTAACCAGAGTACTGTTTTCAATAACTGAACCTGCAATATATTCTTGATGTAAATAATTCCACCACTGTCCCCGTTGTTCTGACTGCTCTGTATATAACAGGTATCTGTTAAAGCAAGAGGGTATTTAAGATTTTTTTCCCTTTTTTTGAATATGCAGAAGCTCTACAAGCCCGTGGTAACACCAGAAGAGATAAGATCTCAGCCTTCTCAAGGTAAAGAGTTCGTGGGGATGGCAGCTGTACTGAGGAAACACTGTCTACCTACTGGCTAGCTGTAAATGTCTACGTTTTCTTCCTTTAAACTTGTTTAAAATTATTGACTGTTTAAGTAATTAACTAAAATAGCTACAAGTTTCTCATAAATGAGTGTATTGCTGCCTCAGTTTTCTTGTATCCATTTCGCGTGTTCTAAGTGCAGTCTGCAGTGAGACACTGTACTTAAAGGCAAAAGCTGGCCACTCTGTGTGTGTATGTTGGGTAGGAATTGTCACAGAGCCACTCCCAGTTGTTTTCCTTATTTCTTTCCTTCACCACTGGTGGAGGTCAGATGGGGAACTAGTTGCATCACTGACATTATACTTTGGCCATTCTTGTGTTCCTTTTGCATGAATATTAGAAATGCTTCAATCTCTCTTCCTAATCAGTCAGTTTCTTCAGGGAAATGAAAGCTGTTGTGTAGTACTCAGTGATGGCAGTGTTGACATCACTTGCAAAGCAGGAGTAACTTGCAAAGTAGGACACAGATTTTATCCTGCCTGTGTCACTTGTAAGGGTTGATGAAGGCACAAAACTGCAAACAGCATTGTAAGTTTGCTGCATGCTTGTGAAAGATGCCTTGTACAAAGTCTTTGGAACAAGGTGGTGGATTTGGCAGTGGGTGATTGGGATGTGCTTTCTGGAGGCTGGCCTTAAGAAATGGAAAGTTTTGTGTTACCTCTTCTTAAGTATGGAAAATGACAAAATTTACCAGTGCAGTTCTAAGTTGAAAAGCTTGGTTACAGAACCCTCACTACGGATTACTGCTGCAATGTAAAGCTGGTGTAACAACCAGTGGTGCTAATAGTTTGAGAAGTCTGAGCTTAGTCTTCCAGTTCTCACCCTGCTGATCTAACTTCATTCTAAGCATCATTTCCTCTTTGTAATCAGGAGACATTGCTTCCAGAAATGCCAGCCTGTGCAGCAGAGCAGCTGGTAGGAGCAATAAAGAGTGTCACTTCGTATCTCGGTTCCAAGATCTATGCTTTTCTGATGTGAATCAATTACTTCTTGAAAGTTAGTAGCTGTTTGCACTGTGGTATTGTGTTTTCATGTTTGGTAACAGCAAAGTTGTAGCAAAGATAGCATAGAGTTTGTGCTGAATTTTAATATTAGATAGTCTTTGGGAAGTTTACGTATCCCAGTTGAGCAAGTACAGTGGCCAGAAACCAAAAATGTTTAGATTACTCAGTACCTTTCATTTCCTTTTTTCATTTCCCTATGTTTTGGAAAGCCTTGAACACTGAGGAATATAATGCCATCTATGTCAAGCTGAACTCCTGCAGGCAAATTTCATTTAATTGTGTGCCAACCTTTCTGTATAATAATGCAAGTAATTATTTCTACTTTTACTTAACTCCTTTCTTGCCATTGCATAACATCAGCAGTCTTCTCATTCCATCACTCTAACGTAAGAGTGCTTCATTACGGATATAGCCTTCTTTTAGGCAGTGTCCATCCATAGGCCTCTGTGGTGTGTTTTGTGAGGCTGCTGTTGGACTCTTTGTTCTTCTAAACTCTGAATGATGGTACATTTTAGTATCCATGTTCATATATGGGTTATGTGTTCCTAAATCATGTCTGATCAGCACATTGGACATGTTGACAGTTTAGCCAACACTGTCTCTCGCTGCTCACCACCTTTCAGCAGGGAGCCACCATAACCCTGTGCTAGAATACGCTGACTGACTTAAGCTATCTCCAGCAGCAGTAGAGAGACTGATTCAGAGCAGAATGCTGTGTTTAACCCTGACAGGTTTAGGGGTGTATGCACCCTGTAACACTGTGTCCTACTGCAGGCGCTAAAACCCTACAGAAAAGCAATAGGAGTGGAGATGAGGCTGCTTAGTTCCCAGAAGCACACTGATCTGCTCATTTTAAGTTTTGTGGATGGTGGAGAACATGCCCAACAGTTTTATAATATCTTAAGAGTTTAACTCTTGAATAAAAAATTATTATGCTGATGATCTTGTCATATTGCTACTGCAATCAAATATATGCCATATTCCTCCCAGTGTTCTGCACCTGCTGCCTGCTTCAGTGTTCCTGAAAGCTTCTTTCCCCTTCCCCTTCCTCTTTCCTTCCTAATTAGCACAGCAGAATTAATGCATTTTGTGTTGTTTATGCTTGGTTCTTTTTGGTGTTAATGCTTAGTAAGTTAAGCCAGAAGAAAAAAAGTATCCTTTATTGTGAAAGCCATCTTGCTGGAGACATAAGGTTATTTATTTCCCCTCCTTAAAAGGATTTTGTTTATCTCATTTTCTCCACAGTTGTGTTTATTCTCCTTCTTTTCTGTGTTTTTTATCAAATATAATGTGAGCTTGAAAATTTTGAAGACTAATGGTTTTGTATAACTATTTCCTTACAAGTGTTCTCTTCCTTTATGTCAAATACTTGCATTGTGTCTCATGTTTTGCATAACCTGTAGGTTTTCTATGGAAGAACTCTGTGGCTTATTCTAGTTGGGACTGCTAGACAGTACTGCATTTTGAGTGATAAAGAATAACACTAGTAAGACAAAGCATACCAGTTGTCATCCTCACTGCTATAATGAAAGGCACGTGCTACAGGTTTAAGTTTTATATGGGGACTCTGCTGCTTCTCTGTCCAGTTTCTGATAGCAAGTAGTGGGGGAGGGGGTTCTGTTTCAGAAGGTGATTTGTGCTTTATGTCTTTCTGTAGATGCTCACATCGCAGATCTGAAGCAGGTGGCAGAAATGGTGTCCAAACAGATCAGTGCAGCAATGAAGGTGAGATCTCTGTGCGCTCCAAGAGGACATGTTTTTATTGTCTTGATCTGGTAATATGTCACAAAACAGGCTTTCTAACTCATCCTCATGATAGTTTTGTACAAAAAAGCCTGTGTGTGTACTTCTGAAGCAGGTACAACTGATGAAGTTGTCTATAAAGCGTTCCCTGTCATGTGGTAGTAAGGAAGATTATGCTGTGACTATAGGAAATACTTTTTGCAGGGATTTTGGAAGCTGCAGCATCTGGAAAATAACATATCTTTTGAAGACCTGTATGACATCATACGGAGTGTGACGTTTGCTACTTCAGTACCTGCTTAGGCATCAGCTGTGGTGTTCCTGTGATACTTACTCATCTTAGAGATGTCATGAGGGAACACTTAACCTTGGCATACTCTTTGCATGGCCTCTGGGCACAGACTGTTTTCACCACTGGGGTGGTAGCTCTGCATTCCCAACCTTCACCCACCATCCTAAGGATCATCTCTGCAGACACAGTAGCTTTTGTGCCTGTCACAATCTAATTAACATACTTAATTCATTGTAAGTGTTACTGTTCCCATGTAACTTGAGATACTTGGGTTTGTTTTTACAGTCTCTTCCAGCACTCACAGAAAGAGCTGAAGGTCTTTCCCAAGTGTTAACTTGGCAACCAACCTTGGAACTCTGCAAGCTGCGGCAAGAAATCTTTGCTGGTGGCAAGGCAAAGGAGGAAAATAATGTCCAAAATTTTGTACCACCAGGAGAAGTCACACCAACAGACACTGACACCAGTAAAAATCCTTATATTCTCCTAAAAAGAAGGAAAGCTGCTGATTCACCAGAAAGAAAGCGCTACCCACTTCGACGGAGGAAGATTACTCTCCGCTCATGAATTTCTCATTTCGTATTTTCAGTTTGGAATCTCTTATTCCGTTTGCTCTATCGTTTCTCTTAAAACTCGTCTCCTCTCAGTGCTGTATATGGGAGCTTCCTTAATTAATCTCACTCCTTTGTGTTTTGTATCCTTCAGTATTTTTTTTACTGTCGTGCTGATGGTATATGAAAACCTATGCATACCAGTAGCGTCCAATATTAAGCAAGTGTGTTTGCCTTTTAACTCTCATTTTTTTGCTCTTGTGTTGCAGCACTTAGTCCTTGCGTTTCTCTGAGTTCATGTGCATGTTTTATGTACGTGGGCAGCCTTTAGGAAACCACTGAATGCTCATTTACATTCAGCATGCTTCTGAAGAGGTTGGAGAATGTTTAGTTCTCCTAATGCACCTTCACACTGAGTCGTGTGGCTTTTATTTTAATAAATGAATTCACACTGGACCATATTGAAAAAACCAGATCTGATAGGATATTAGAGTTTTTAGAAAATCCATGCTCAAATGTGACATTGGTCCCTGCTATTCTGCCTTTCCTCAATATAGGTTATATAGACTTATTTATAGTCATGTTTGTTTAAACTTGGATTTTTAGTAATTGTATGTATTTACTTGCAGTGTGCTCTTCTAAATAGGAATTCGACCATCAACATCTTAGGATCTGATGTTTCATTTCATGTAATCCAATTATACAGTCTGGGGGTTTCCTGGACAGTATTTCTGTACAGGATCTTGACTTGGGTCGTGTATGCATTTCTGATGTTTGACTAAACTCTAAAGTACAGGGTACCAGTAAATGGTATTCAGTTCAGCTTGCTCACTTTTGTTTTCTTTACCCATTAGTACCTAGAGGATTGCACAGTATTACTAGATTGAGCATTGTGCCTTAACTATTTATAACCTTTTCTGGTTTATAGTTTCACGTGCTTGCAGTAAATACTGATGTCTGATACGTAACATTCCTTCCACGGTAAGTGGAGGGGGTTTTTAGGTGCTTTAATTATGACATGTGTGGTAAGAGGATAGGTCCAACTTAATGTTTGAGAGACTGAAAATTCTCAATAGAACATAACAGATTTTAGCATCATTTATTTTGTAAAGGAGAGCATCTCAGCCAAGACTTTGTATATGTAATCATATGTAAATATTTTTCCTGTCATTCCTGTAAATACAAATTGTGTTTTTATATGAAGTAAATAAAATCAATTGAGAAAGATCAAAGTTTCAGATAATGTCAGTTCTAATCCTGGAATAGATGGTGACTGAGCAGTGAGCATACTTCAGAAGACATCTGAGTTAAATTTTGGCTTGAGTAACTGAAGTAGTTCATTTACTGCCTTTGAACTCACAACTGTTATTAATCTCAGGGCTACAAAGCATCTAATGTAAGAGAGGACAGGATGTGAGAGGGACTGGAGCTGCAAAGCTGTGGAGCGTGTGACTGAGACGGCTTTTCACACAGCAACTTGCTATTTTAGCTGCTTTGAGTGCCTGTGCTCTGTGTGGCGTTGAAAATCCCCACCATGGCTTTCTTCACCAAGATCCACCGGTACTCTTTGAGTGTTCCCAGATAAAGTGAGCCCTGCAAGATTTTGCATGGCTACCGTTACAGTATTTGAACTGTTAATAGGAGGATTCTCCGCTCTTCTGCAAATAATAGGTAAGTACAGAAAATAGGTGCATCTCTTTGAAGGGGTCCCATGAAAAATGGCCAAGGTAGGACAAAAGCCTTACAAAATACAGAGAGAGAGCACTGTGGATTAAGACTTCATAAGTGAATTAATGGATTCACACTACAGTCTGTGTTCATGTTAAGAGATTGCGGGATAGTTGGTCTGTGCAGGATTTGAAGTAAGTGGGAATGGATGCCCCAAGCTAGAGCAGTCAGGCTTTGTTCCATGGCCTTTGTTTCAACTATACCTGAGTGGAAAAAGAAAACAAATGCATATGGAAACACTGGCCAAATGAATAAAGAAGGAAACCTGTCAAGATTCTAAAATTATGAATATAAAAATCTCTTGATGGCTACTTTTGGCCAAGCAGCACTAGAAGGTGTCAGAGGATTCCCTTTAAATACAAGTTCTGTGATGAGCTAAACTCAACAACTGAACGTTCAAGTGGGTTTCAAATGGTTATTAAAATTTTCTACAGGCAGTGATATGTGCAGCTAGCTGTGCCTGGGATCTGTTCTTCCCATTGGCAGAAATACACAAAACATTTTTTCCCATTCCAGTAGCCTTGTGTCCTTCCGTTAACTTTTCATAGGAATTGGCAGTGTTGTGCAAGACAAGTGTCTAATCAGGCTTCTACTGAAATGTCACAACATCCAAACTTCTTATTTTTAACTTGGGGTGAATCAGTATTGCATCAAGAAATGTCTGGTAGTTTTTCTTTATATAGCCTTTGAATTTTGTAAGACAGCTCAATGGTGATGGATGCTTGGGAGCATTTGCAAACTGAGTTTGCGTTTCTCTGCCTTTTGGGGTGAGATGACACATCTCGCTGTCCGTTAGTATGTGCTGTCTGCAAGGTGCTTACTGCTGGTGAGGCTGGACCATCCCCACCCGAGAAAAACTCGCAAATTGGAGCAGTATCCACGCACACTTTTGCTGTGTATGGTTTCTGAACAAAGGGGATTACAAATGGTGCAGGGAAGCTCCTCTTCCATAAGTCTTCATGTGGACACTGACAGCACTCTGAGACCCAGTTCTGATCTGTGCCTTTATCCAGAAGAGCCACGCTATGCTATGCTGTGATCAGTGACTCTAGTCTCTGTGTGTGTGTAGGCTGCTTCAGTGCAGAAAAAAATCACTGATCAAGTGCCATTATAAAATGTAAACTCAGCTGACTAGGCTGCTTTCTGGGCTTGTTTTCTCTCCTGCACAGAAACGCTCTGCCTTTACTGCTGCACTACCTGGAATTACTGTGTAGGCATTTCTACAGATGTACCAGAGATAGCTTTAATACTAAGTAGAAACTTGTTCCCACAAGCAAATTTTGACTTGTCATTTCCTTTGTCATTTGTTCTGAACAAGAACAGACTCTTCAGGCTCAAGGGTACTGTCCCCTGGCTTGTCCCATACTTGTAGTGTCCTGGAAACCTTATTCCAGCTGCTGGCTCCATGCACGGCAGCATTGCTCCTAGAACAGCTCGAGAGCTTCTTGTGGGGTCAGTTCTAAAGTCTCTCTGTGGAACAGGCTTATTTTCCCACAGGTCACACTGAAGGGCTGTTGAGGTGTTTTGTCTGTATGGTTCATGGGGTTTATTGCAAAAGACTATACCTGTTCCCTGAGCTTATGAACATACCAGCTTCTAGTCCTGTTAATTGCAACTGTGCATTAGCTATAAAGGCAGCAAGAGTTCAGTTGCTCCTTTTTATGCAACTGTCCCAATTAAATCTCTGCTTGTGCCCACACTTCTTTAATTGCATGAGGTGTAGTTAATGCAAAATTGGACTGTTTCACTGTTTCAAAGGAGCAGTTGAGAGCAATTCACCCTCTGATAACTCACTGCCTGGTGACTAGGACTGCCTTCCAGGAGATGCCAGTTTGGATCCCCTCAGCTAGAGAATGGCACTGAACCCACACCTTCTGCTACCTCCATGAGCACCCCCTTGGTGAACATCCTGCTCTCAGCATATTAGATGACAGAGGAAAGGAGAAAAGAAGCAAAACTGCTTGTAAAGAAACCACGGAGCGTCCTGTATGATGTGTGGGAGACCCAGTGCAGCCTGGAGACGTAGCTGAGGTCAGGGTAGTTTGGCAAGGGTGCCCATCCCGGTTGTGATCCCCATGGCCATAAGGGTGGGAGAGACTCGCAGGTTCTCAGAGCTCCTCTGGGATTGGAGGGGCTCTGAGAAAGTGCAAGAGCAAAGTTGTGGGTAGCCTGGAAGATGGAGACACAAGCTGCTTTGAGGTGTGACAGCTGGGGAGAAGTCCTTCCTACTGGGGAAGTCATGCTCAGGTCTTTCAGTCATCCTGATGGTCCCAGAGCCTACCAGGAAACCTGTGGCAGAGTGCAGACTTTGGTTTGACTCTTGGAGTCCTGGCAGCACAGTTCTCTCATCTTCTGCATGAACTGTTAGCCAGATCTTCCTGAAAGGACAGTCTATATTTACTCACTTTTCAAACATTTTAACCTCATCTTCATCTAAGCTAGATGACTCAGGCTTCTGAGGAAACCAGAAAAATAGAGAAGTATCTGATTTATTAAGATACCTGGGGCTTTATGACTGCAGTCTGGGGGCACGTACCCTCTTCACATGGCTGTGTTTGCCCCTGTGAGTTAAGCAGAGCCAGGAGGGCACATTAATTTCAAATACTTCTGCAGTAGAGCAAGGATGTTGAACTATTTGTCAATGCAAACAACCCCTTCCAGAGCAGAAGGCCAAGGTAACAGTGTAATTAAAATGCAAGGAAGGTGTTCAGAAGGGTAAAAGAAACATTGTTAAGTTTGTTAAAATACTCTCGACAGAATACCGAAACAGAGAGATTTTTGTCTGCAGCGACTGTGTTTTCAGCAGTCCTTGTCTGGCTTCGCCTTTACAAGAAGTCTGTGGCATTTCCTTATTATTTAAAGGAACAGGGCGAGTAGCGAAAGTGAAAATCTCTCTATCCCAGTACGGATGCCGTGTCCTCACGCCCATGACCCCGGGTTGAGCCGGCTGTCCCGCATCTGGAGCTCCCGCCGCTTCAGAGAGCCGATGTCGCAGGAGCGCGGCGGGCAGGAGCGGTCGGAGGTGAGACGGGAGGGAGACACACGGGGGGCACGGCCGGCTCCCGGAGGGACAGCCTGACCTCCCGGCACCGCCGCCGGCAGGAAACTCGGGCAGAAGAGAAACGGCGGGGAGCTTTTTTCTGCAGGTGAAAGAGCGAGTCGGGCCGCCCGGAGGGGCGTCGAGCCCGCCAGCCCCAGGGGCCGGGGCTCTCCAGGGGATTTACAGGCAGCTCCTGCCCGGCAGCGCCGTGCCCCGGGAGTGCGGGCTTTCCCCCGGCTCCCGGGGGCTGAGCAGCCCCGGCCGTCCCGGGGACTGGACACTCTTGCAGTCGCGGGGGCGCTCAGGCCCGAGGGTGGGCAGTGCGGGCCGGGGGCTCCGGGCAGTCCCGGGGTTCCCGCTTCCGCGGGCGCGGCGCGGTCCCAGGCGGGCGCCATGTGAGGGCCATGCGGGCGGCGGGGCGGCAGCTCCGCCCCCGGGCCGGGGGGTGCCGGCTGCCAGGTGCCGGGGCGGTGCGTCCCCTGCCCTGTCCCGCCCCAGCCCGCCCTGTCCTTCTACTCCCTGCCCTCCACTCCCCTCCCCTCCGTCCCAGCCCCCGCGGGCCGGGGCAGCCCTGCGGGCGGCTCCGCAGCTGCGGGATGTCGTGCGCCGTGCCGGCGGCTGCGGCGGGGGCCAGCGCGCTGCCCCGGGGCGCGGCGGCCGAGGGCAGCCAGCAGGTAGGGCCGGGCCGAGGGGCTCTGCGCTGCAGGCGGGCGGGCACATGGGGATGAGTCACGCCGGGCAGCGCCGCCTCGGGGGTGCTCGCTGCCCCTGGACATCGGCACTTCTTTTACCGGGAGGCGGCCGCCGTGCAGGCTCTTCCAGGTGGGAGAGCGGGCGGACGGCCGGCGGTGCGCGGAAAGCTGCCAGCGCTGGGGCATGGAGCGATCAGAGGCTTTTCCACGGGCGCGGGCTGCCGGGAAGAGAGCTGGGCTGCCCCGCCGGCAGCGGGCGCGGGGGCAGCGGGAGCTGCCGCTCTCCTCGGCGCTGCTCGCACCTCCGCCCCGCCGGCAGCGCTGGGGCGAAGCAGGTGTCAAGTGCTGCCAGCCGGGCAGGTCCCCGTCGCGGGTGACGGGAGTGCCCTCGTTCCCCTATCAGCGGCAGCGTGTGTGCCCGCGGGGCTCTGCGGCGTCCCCCGGGCAGCCCTGCCGGCTTCCATCCCTCCACCTCGGGTCCCACCTGTGCAGTGGGGCAGGGGATGCTCTGCCCTTTGCAGACTGTGGGACCAGTGGGATGCCGGCGGTCGGTGATGTGACGTTTAGAGTACATGCTCGTTCTCAGAAACAGTTGCACGCCTGAATTAGGGCATCTCCACATGCACCTTAAAAACTAACGAAGTGTTTCTGGCTGATGTCTTCCAGAGTCATGAAGAAGATGACAGGAAAGTAAGGAGGAGAGAAAAAAATCGAGTTGCTGCACAGAGGAGCCGGAAGAAGCAAACTCAGAAAGCAGATAAACTT